GTGTTGTGAGAATTGAGAGAGTTTGTAAGGATTATATTGGTGGATGGTCATGGGCTCTCATTGTGAGCCATGTGGTTCAAGGTGGGTCAGGTGGTTGCAGCCTTCAAGTTGAAGTTGGATCAACAATTTTTTGTTGCTAAAAAACCGTTGGTATTCTGTTGGAAAAAATTCGTTGGCAATCTGTTGGGAACAAATTCCGTTGGTAATCCGTTGGGAAAAAATTTCGTTAGTAATCTGTTGGGAAAAAATTCCGTTGGTAATCCGTTGGGAAAAATTTCTGTTGGTAATTCGTTGGGAGAATTTCGTTGGCAATCAGTTGGGAAAATTTTGTTGGTAATCTGTTGAGAAAAATCTGTTGGTAATCCGTTGGTATATCCGTAACTAATATGTTGGCTTTCTGTTAGTAATTTACCAACGGAATGATTTCGCAACTACGTTTTCTGTTGGCAATTCCTTAACAATCTCATTGAGTGATTCTGTTGCAAATTCGTTGGTAATCCGTTGAGAAATTTACCAACGGATTGCATATTCCGTTGGCAATAATTACCAACAAGCCATATAGCAACACAGAAATCCGTTGGTAATCCGTTGGCATTCTGTTGGGAAATTTGTTTACCAATAGATTATTCCGTTGGTAAAACTCATATTTCTTGTAGTGATATCAGTTAGCTTTTTAGTTATCATCAGTAAATTTAAAATTAACTTATAAATTATCAATAAACTTAGAAGTTGTTAGTTAGTTTTTCATCTGGATTTATCAAATACACCCTAACTACTTTATTTGAGATAGTTTTAAGAAAATATTTTATTAATCATCTCGTGATAATAAAATTCTTAATTATATATACATATATTATAGTTTTTATATTTAATTTTTATTTTCAAAAAAATCATGGCCGTCCACTTGAGATGATCGGGAGAGCCATTTTAATGTTTGATAGACCTCTCCATTTGCTCCGTTAAAGGAGATCTCGGCCACGGGGGCGGCGCCGGCAGAACCGAATTAAAAAAGTCAACGGCTTGTATGTTGGTTTTCTCCGAAGTCAAAGGAAGAATTTCGAAATTGCATATGCGTATCTAGAAATGAAAGGACAATAATTTTTTATGCATTATAATTAAATTAATAAAAATAAATATAACAAGTAAATGTAAAAATATGAAAAAAAAATGTTTTTTGAAAACTAATTAGTATGTAACCCGTGCAAATAATAATAAATTGTAAAAAACTAAAGTGGTGAAAAAATATTGATTAGTATAAAAAAGTTTGAAAAATAATATTAGCTTTTTTCCTTTTCTTTTATTTTTATAATATTAGTGTATAAATAATGATTTTTACATTGACCAAAGGAAGTTCCAGGTTTGTCTCATTTTTGTTGCATTTTTCGTGTTTG